CCCGCCGCAGATGCCGCTTCCCCGGCGGCCGGGACGGCAGCCCCCGGCACCTGCCCGGCTCTGAGCTCCGCTGCCGGGCCCGGGGCAGGAAAGTTGGGGACGGTCGCTGAAGCCCCCTGCCATGTTCTCCGTGCAGGAGGCGCTGCCCCGGGGGGGGCTGCCCATGAAGGAAGAGCCGCTGACCGCTGGGCTGCCCTCCGTCCGCTGGCTGCAGGGCACCGGCATCCTGGACGCCAGCACGGCGGCACAGAGGTAAGGGGCTCCGCGGGCATCCCGGTTACTGCAGGCATCCCGGGGCCAGCGGGCGTCTCGGGTGCCGTGGGTGTGCTGGGCTCTGCAGGCATCTCAGGCTTGCAAGCATCCCAGGTGCTGTGGGCATCCTGGGCACTGCAGGCATCCCGGGCTCCACGGGCATCGCAGGCTCCACGGGTATCCCAGGTGCTGTGGGCATGCCAGTCATCGTGAGCATCCCAGGCTCTGCAGGCATCCTGAGCACTGCGGGCTTCCCAAGTGCTGTGGGCATCCCAGGCACCATGGGCATCCTGGGCACTGCAGGCATCCCAGGCACTCTGGGCATCCCAGACATCCCGGGCACTATGAGCATCCCAGGTACCACGGGCTCCACAGGCTTCGTAGGCACTGTGGACATCCTGGGTGCTGTGGGCATCCTGGGCACCATGAGCATCCCAGGCACTGCGGGCATCTCAGGCATCCTGGACACCACAAACACCCCAGGTACCACGGGCTGCCCAGGTTTCCAGGTTGCTGTGAACATCCCAAGTTCTGTGGGCATCCTGGATGCGACGGGCATCCCGGGTGCCATGGGCACCCCAGGCACACTGGGCACCCTGGGTACCACATACCCTCACCACCCTGGGATCCCTGGGCAGCCCGGGATGCCTTGAGCATCCCAGGTGCCTTGTACCCACCAAGTACTTCAGGCACCCCAGGTGCTCCACACACTGGGGCTCCTTGGCCTCCGGGTAAGCGGGATGGCACCGCTGCCAGCCCTGTCTCCCGGGCAGGGCTAGTGGCATCGCTAGGGCGAGTGACTGCTGCAGGCACTCAGGCAGCCAGCATTGCCAGGTTCACTGCACCGCAGCCCGATGCCCACCCATCCCCCAGCTGGCCCCATCCCCTGCCCTCCCTTGGGGGCTCCGTGTGCCCCGTCCGCATCTTCTGCCCTCCCTCGGGGAGCTCAGGGCTCCGTGCACCCCATTCTCACCCCCCGCTCTTCCTGGGGAGCTCCGTGCAGCCTGGCCCCTGCTCTCTGCCTGTGCCTGGAGGGGTCCCGGCTGTGGCTGGAGGACACTTTCACTGCCGTCCCCAGCTCCCGCTACCCCCCCAATGTGCGCCGTGGGGTTTGGGGGGGGGCAGTAAGGGAGGCTATGCTTGGAGCTTGCTGCAGCTTTGTCCAGGGGTGACAGACGGTGCCGTGGCTCATCGCTGGTGCCCCATGGGACAGGGGGGTGAGGGGACCTGGGTCAGCCTGGGCACTGCCCTCCTGGGGTGCCCTATGGACTCTGCCCAGCCAGGGATAGCATATTTGGGGATCGGGGAGGGGAGGGGTGTCTCCCCTCTGCACAGGGCTGTGGCAGACTGGGACATCCCCAACACTTCCAGAGCCGACCCGGTCTGTGGGCTAGGTATTCCGGTTGTGTGCGCCGTCCCTGAGCACGGGGTCCCCAGCCACAGTGCCAGCCCCGCTGCCGGCTTTCTGCCAGGGACTGTGGCTGTGCCGGAGGCTGTGACCCGCAGCCGAAGCCCTGGGGGCTCCCTGAGGTCCCTCCCGAAGCCGCCGTGTTTGCAGCTGCTGCGGGATGCCTGGAAACTGCAGCCCTTCCCCTTGCCAGCCCCGGCAAAGCCACCCCAGTCCCATCCCAGCACAGCCACTACTTGGCGGGGGGGGGGG